GACTATCAAGATATACATGAAATTGCCATTTCGGGGCATATCCCATTTTCGGACAAACCCAAATGTTGGCAGTTTTCTTTCTTTGAACCAGGCTCTTTGGGTCAAGAGTTCTTCTGGTGCCTCAATGGTCATGACACCCATGCCAAGCAGGTTTATCACATTTTATCACAAGGGTACGACACAAAGTTGGGCTTCACCTGGGTTGGAAACAGGGAGACCTGCTGGATTCCCCCCGGACCCAGGGACCCATCAAAAACCACCATGGCTAAGGTGCGCGAGAATCTGCCACTTTCTGCCGATGTCGTTTGACCTCAGTGGGCTGTTTGAGACCTGGAGGAAGTAAACCGAGGATGAACGGCTTCAGTCATCTTCAGTCTATGTATCCTAAATTCCCACAATGGAGGTGATAGGTTCATCTTTAGTTGGCTCCAGCCAAAGAAAGCACTGAAAATGGAGGATCTCCATCATCTCCATCCGGGCACCGCATCTTCGATGATGGCTTGCTGCAAAAAAATTGCCCAGTTCGTGGGCAAAAACGGGCATCTTCAAGGATCAAATTGCTGGTTTCCTCAAAAAAAAACCTATCATCTCTGGCAGGAAATAATCATTGCTTTGAACAATCACCTAAAATGGGCCGGTTCTGGTCGTATCCCATGGTCATCCAGCTGTCAGGAATCCCCCAAAAGGTGTTGTTTTTGCTTTTTTCATATCCCCATATTGCCATATCCATGGGTCGATAACTCCTCACGCTGCCAATCCTTTCTATCATGTCAAATTGATGGGTTCATTAAAAACAATTTTGAGCTGGCAGGCAAGTTCCTACTACATGAAAATTCCTATTGCGGATGGTTGTCATTAGTATTCTCATTAACATGGAAGTCCTTGACGTTGCTGCTTGATCCTGGCTGATGGCGTCTTTTAACCTGGTAATGACTAACAGTTTGCGCACTGGGAAAAATAAACACCATGTTTAAAACCGGTAATTCATCCAACTAAGTAGGCCATCGCATTGCGTTAGTCATAACATGTCATAACCAGACACGCCGGCACCATCAAATCCATCAAGGCTAAAGGACGATTTTGTCCGTGGTCATCGATTTCTTCTTCGTGTCCTTCTCAAGTTGCGACCTGCGCGGCCATCGACTCAGCCAATTATTGGGGATCATGGGGGGCTGAGGTATCCAGTATCCAGAACGGGTATATGTCTGGGTATACTGGGGACAATGAGCATATCATCAGAATAAACTAGATTTAGATACAATATATGCATGGATATGCATGGATATGCATGGAATATATTGGGAGAAAGGATCAACACTTCAGTTGTTGGGATTTTTGGCTGGCAACCACTGTGTTCACTGTTAAAATTGGGGTCCATGCATCCAACGAACAGTGGGACTGCAGTGACTGCGGGGTCCCACAAGGATGAACCCGAACAAAGCCATCAGTGGCCCTGTATGCCCAGTGTGGCCCTGTCCTATCTTTGTCTTCCATCAGCGTTGCCGTGCAAGCCATGGCCTGCCGATGCCATAATGATTTACCATGAGGCTGTGATAGGTGTATAGTGGAACCCCATACTGAAGAGTCTCTGCCACGACGGTCATCCCGGATTAGGGGGTCATGAGGTACCCTAATGAAGGTGACCAAAGATCACTGAAGCACAAGCCACAAGCGTCAAACAAATGTCAAACATACACGCCCCAAAAGAGTCGTCCATCTGTCTTTCCACATATTTTTGGATACCCCAAAAGTTGGTTGATTTCATAGAATGTTGCCCCGGACACTTCCCCACATCTATCAACCCAGGGTAAAGTTACCCAAGGAAATCATTTCCCAGTTCACCCAGCCTTCATCTTCAATGAACCGAGGTGCAGCAACCGAGAGGTTTGAGCCAAAAAGAACTGGCTGCGACAACTTCCAAAGTGCGTCACTGTGGGGTTGAGCCATTTCAACGGCCGTAGCATTGGGACATATATTGGGACATTATACAGCCTTGAGCCCCAGAATGGTTGTGTTACAGTAACTCATTTTACTTGTTGCCTTGTTCAAGGTGAAAGCACAGAGTGCTCAGCATCCACTGCTTAAGCCATCCCAAGAATGTGCTGGTCAATTATGATCATCATCTGAGGTAGCAAAGTGGTGCCCCAGTTCGTTAGCTAAGTTGGTTAGTAAGTCCCATGTCACTATGGTTTATGGTAGATATAACTATAGTTACTGGGGTTTATAAACCAACAAACATCACTGGGGGCCCCAGCCTTTCAAGGCCCGGACGGTCTTGAAGCTCTTGGTCAGCCAGGGCGTCCGGTGGCTCGGACGTTCGGGGGGAACCGGAGAACCCTTCGGGATCTCCGTGGAGATTTCTAGGCTGCAGCCCAGCCTTGATCTGCCACAGTCTGTGACCTGTTCCACACATTTCTCACGGAAGATTCTTGGTCCTCGACAAAAAAAAAAGTGAGATCATTGAGACAATAAAATTCATGGCTTTCCAAACACAGAAGCATTGAATACCATAAAAAAAATCCGGCCGAATCAGAAGATGTTCACCGATCTGTAAGAACATGTAATATAGTGAGCACATTTGTGGGAGGAACTCCAACATGACCAATCCGGTATGATTCTATATTTAATCCACAGAGTCATGTATTGGTTCATTTCTGGAAATGCTTTGAGGCGCCACAGCCCGAGCCTTACTGAGCCCTGGGTCGTCCTGACAAATCCCCATAGTGTGGCTTTGTCTGAAATTGGGTGTCTAAAGGAACCCGAAAAAACCTATGGTGATGATCATCATTCCTCCGGTTTTAAATGCCAAGTGTTGCGACTTTTTTTTGGTCGCCATTTTCAGCCAGACCCATCTTTTACGTCTTTTTCATGGCAAGAGATGTGGGAAGGTCGTCGTTGGGTTTTGCGCCAAGCGATCCCTGTGGTTTTGTTTTGTCTAGTTGAATGCTTCGCAGCCCTGAGATTCATATGTCTATAAATTGAGTAAATCAACCAATCAAATCCAAATAATTCATTGAATAAATATATAAATGATATATAATAATATATGTATATATGGATGATCCAGCATTCCAGCTCGTGTTCAGGTGAGCGACCAAAGCTTCTGTGTCGATGCCCTCCCACTATTTTGGTCCTTAACATTATGTAAATTATATATACACACATAGTTATATGTATTTATATGTATGTATACATATGTATATATATATATATGTATATATATATATATGTATATATATATATAACTATAACTATATGTGTATATACATATATCAGTTACCTTGAATGTTACATATATATATGTATATACACATACATGTTGATTCTTTGATTAGCCTGGTGGATTTCTTAGGGCACCGCTCACATGGAGAAGCTGCCCCAAGAACAACATCCTTTCACCCCCTTTTTCGACTGCGAGTCGCAGCCCTGTCATCGAGATACATGGCTCTGCAATCACAGGCGCGACCGCTTTCAGCGGGCTAAGCATTGACACCAACTAGCTACTATCCCGAGCCATTTAGAAATCAGCCCCCAGCAGCCGAGAGCCTGGGTTTTGCACGACAACGGAGGATCAAAGACCATTCGAAAGTCACAAAATGTTTGGAATATCATAGAGACTGGGTGTGCAACATGCAGCTTCGGGGGTAAACAGGCTTGGGGCACAGCATCAAGTCCACTATCTCTAGGTTTGCTTCCTCCACACGGGAATTTCAGACCACCCTGAATGGTGAGCCAGTGCAAGCAAAGTGGCGACAATATATACTCCAAATCCATTGGCTCATCATTGTGCTCCCAGTGAAAAAAACACCACCGACCATAAAATGTGAGTATGCCCAACTAAATCCAGCAGTACGTTGTGACTTTGTCGGAAAGTGGATTTTTCAAAAAAACAATGGGCTAAGTTCCCACCAGGGTCCAAAGATTCATCTAAGATGGGTATGTCATGGTATATACGGATATTACAGATGATATAGACCCGAAATGTCCATTCGTTTATTTAACATGATGATAAACTGTTGGATCCCCTGAGGGTCACCCGCAACGGACAAAGCCCCAGAAAAACCAGGCCACGTCCGCTCCACCCATTTGCGCAGTTCGGGGTCCACAAATGCGCGGAAGGCCTGGTGCAGTTGTGGATTTTGGATGATTTTGGATGGTTTGACCGGCCAAAAATGCTGGCTTTTTGTCTGTTTGAGATTTTTCCCAGAATGGTTTAGCTTAACAAGCAACATTCATATGGGTGTCAATGCCAAACCGGGGCTGGTGCCATGCCCATCTCTCATTTTGTCTTCAGAGATCCAATCTGAATCTTTATTTAAGCACCATCTTTGGGCGGACACTATGACCTTGGATAACCCGGAGGTTTCCGAAGTGGGGGTACCCCTAAATCATCCCAGGCTTCAGATAGGATCTTCCATGAAAATGGAAACCCCCAGCCAATGGCTTCGTGTTTTTTCGGGTCTCCCATCGCCATCAGGATGGTAAAACACTGTTTTACCATAAGAGTTTCCATTTAGATCATGTGATTGTAGATAAATCGGGATGAACATAAACAATGTTAAACAATAACAAAATCACGAAAAAAAAATTAAACCCGCAGCAAAGAACTTGGCTTATGACAAGCCTCTGATTACAAGAAAACAACATGCAAGTACCCCCTCCGGCCTGACACAAACACACGGTGACCCTACCAAATGGCCAAGCAAATCAAGTATCAAGTCTATCTGAGGCTATATCCATATATAATCATATATATATATACTACACAGTATCCAATAGACAAAGCTGTTCAATCACTTTACATCAACATCACTTCACCATCCCAGCCACCCAGAGTCCCCCACCTTCATATGGTCTCCAGAGCTGGGCCCGAAATGACTGGCCGTGTAGCCACTGAAGACCCCGCGCGTTTCGAACTCGTAATACATGGCATACCTGGCAGAAGCAGATGGGTTTTTGGGTACGTTCTGGGGAACGATGACATGGAACTAGATGAAGAAAACAGGAGTTTGCAGAACTGAATAATAAAAAAAAGCTCAGAAAAGGACTTACCCTCTGGTTATGTCAACATAGCTATTGAAAATGACCATAGAAATAGTGGATTTTCCCATTTTTCCCATTAAAAATGGTGGATCTTTCCAGTTCGTTATGTAAACGTTTACCAGGCCGGGTACTTGTTGGCAACCATCGGCAACCGCAACCTGTGCCGCAGTGAGATCTCGCCTGTCTTTGGTGCCGTGGTGTTCAATGCCTCTATGCTCGCAGAAGGAGTCGTAGAGAACCACCTGAGCACGAGATCGCAGGTGGAAATCATTGGAAATCCAACAGATTTGCAAGTCAGCTACAAAAGCGAAGGGGTAAATAAGAATGCAAATCATCTGACAGAGTGATCAATCATGAATAGTGACTTTTAGCTGATAGTTGATAGATGTTGATAGTATTTTTAAAAAAAATGACAAGCATGTTGGAGGCTTGGTTGCTGAAAGTGTGTGTGTGTGTGTGTCGGTGTGTCGGTGTGTCGGTGTGTAGATTGTACTTATGATCGCAAGCAACACAGGAAATGGCTAGGAACAGTGGTGAATCCCCCAGATAGATGTTTTCCTTCTTGTTCAATAGTTATTCATAGTTATTCTATCAATTTGCTGCTATCATTCATTGTAAAATCATATTTGCTTATCAATTTCATGGTTTTTGAATGGTACTAACGCTTACTAACGCTGTTGAACAATCCGGATTGTCCTTGATCTGATGAATTTCCCGGCAAGGTGCGGAACCCAAGGGTGGGTTCGCCACCACCTCGAAGCCGGGCATGACCATTCGATGCGAGCCCGGCACGTACGCCAACCTTGGGTTCTTCGGAACCAACGGCTTTTAGGGATCGAATTTTATCCCATCCATCTGCATGTTGCTTAGAACATCTTCAATCTTTTACTGATTCTTAGGGTGATTATAAGCCAATTATAGGTGGTTATAGCCAAATTATAAATCATTAATATAGCCTTTTATAATAAGCCAGGTGAAATTATAAGCCAATTATAAGCCAGTTATGGTGGTTATAACCATGATACTGTGGATGGTTGCGAAATCCTGCACCACCTTGGATAGTTGAAACCCTATAAATAATGGAACAAACTACCTATCAACTGGTGCAGGATTTCGCAACCATCCACAGCGGCCTACTGTAGCCTTTTGTGAAGCTCCAGGTCCACCATGATCCACGCGAGTGGCGGTCCGTTGTTGGCTTCCAATTGTGTCAAGGCCACCTGGCGGAGAGCAACTTCGCGCGAGTCGTGGGATGATCGGCCACCAACATGCAGTGTATATTACATATGTCATATATATATATATATAATTTATATATGTGTGTACATCTTGTATGATGAGATATATGTGTATAATCAATGAAATATAATATAGTATAATGAAATATAATACAATACAATATATATATATATATAATATAATAATATAATGAAATATAATATAATATAATATCTAATATCTAATATCTAATATCTAATACCCTCTGGTAATTTAACATAGCTATTGAAAATGGTCATTTATAATGGATTTTCCCATCAAAAATGGTGATTTTCCATAGCTATGTTAAATTACCAGAGGGTATCTAATATAATGAAATATAACATAACATAACATAATATAATATAACATAACATAACATAATATAAATATAATATAAGATAATATAATATAATATGATATGATATAATATGATATAATATGATATAATATGATATAATATATCCACACACGCATATATCATGTGTCTATACAGTATGCATTTCAATATATATATATATATACATATGCTTGCATATACTGTATATATAAATCCGTGGGCCAAAAGCCTGGATGGAAAGACCTTGCACTCATGACCCTTCCATTTGAAGAAAAAAAGTTCTTCTCATGGCTGAAGCCTTTCCATGAAACGGCGACTCGATTGGCTTCCAAATTCTCATAATTCTTTGATTTCCTCTATGAAAACAACAGTGGACCGACAACACTACTGATCTACTACCCAGTTAGATTCATGAGCTATATAATGTAGAGATTAACTTTTAGGATATCTATATATATATAATTATATATATAATTATATATATATATATGTAATTATATAAAACTATATATATATATGTATATATATAATTATTAAATTATATATATATATATATAATTATATTAATTATATATATATATTGTCCCATATGAACTTGTAGGACTGGTTATGACTGGTTCTATATACCACATGGGTTGATGATGAATGACCAAAAAAGACCCGGCCTGCGCCGTGACTTGCGCCGCAGGGCCCGGGAAGTTGATGTCGCGGTGATGCTTCTGGGGCTCGGAGCCTTCCAGATTCGGTGTCCACAAAAAACTGTGGCATTTATTAGTGGTTAATATATAACTGGTTAAAATGAATGGTTTATGTTACATGAACTATATATCATGGTGGTACTTTGAGTATACTTAGAAGCCACCAGAATGCGATTCTTTGTGGCCCGCTTTTGTCCCCTTGGGGCCTGGGGGTTTGAGCACCAGATGGAGTCTATAGATAACCGTCATTCACAAACGGTTTGAGAAAACTGACGTGTATTGAAAGCACCTGAGTTGGGGATTCTGTTCTGGGTTGGAGGTGGGCTGAAGGGGGGGATGGAAACTGTTACCTTGTCCACCAAGTTCATCATATTCTTCTTGTGTTCACAACAAAAGATTAAAAAGACCTACACACCGTGCAAAACCAAAGCTCTGGGTCCAGGGATGCCACGGATGATCCCTGAAGGCAACTTCTCTCCCCAATGTGAACCCTGTCCTGTTACAACCAGAACGCTACCAGCTCCGAGGGATCATCCTGGATCATCAAACGGTGGCCACAACGGTGGCCTGGTGGTGTTCGAATCAAAGAAATCCGACCAAAGAAAGGTCCCACATCTTCGCGTTCGCCCACATCGCTGCATCCCGCTGGGGGATCATCCAGTAAGGGGCCCCGCTTGGGACCCCACTCGGGCAGCCTGGCGAAGCCACAGCCGGGGCGGGTTTTTATGGCCCCAGGAATCTTCCATGTTTCTGATTAGGAAGATATCAATTATTGGTTGAAGTGTGAGAACATGTGATTTGGCCTGTCTGCACATGAATGCTTTTCTTGATTTGTGCGCGTGGTTTGATCTCGCAAAGTCTGCTAAGTTTGGGTCCAAAACTATTAGAGTTGGGCATGGCTGATTCCTGGGTACACCACATTCATGAGCCACAGCAACCGTTATATTCTGCTTCAAAACTATTGCGCACGGCCATGTACCTACTAGACGGAACGACAAAAAAAAAGCCGCCTTGGGGGTTATAGTATGGACATCTATGGACATCTATCGACTATACTCCTATAGTCCATTGGGACGATTCCAGATGCTCAAAACAGCCCAGATACAGAAACCAGTCCAAGCTGGCTCCAGAAGTGAGCCATTGAACCAGAGCCCATTGCTGCTCTTCCTGCACGGACGACCGTCATGTTGTTTTTATCGCCTCTGCTGATTTCAATATGGAAAATGTGAACCAAGTTGTGCCATTGAGCGAACATGGCTCATTTATAGATGATTTACCCATTAAAAATGATGATTTGCCTATTCAGCATGATGATTTTCGCTATCTTGGTTTACTGGAGGGTACATTAAAATCATGTTTCAGCGGTTCATGGGGGCTCCACGGTTGCACTCTACATATTTCCAGCTATGCTGGTCAGTGGTGCTCAATCAGACTGGTCTCTGTGCTGATTGGTGATTTCAACCCATCGCAGTCATGTCAGTCATTGTGGATCATGATTTCAAAAATGCACATCATATGTATGTAGTGTATATATATAATATATGTAAGTATGTATACATATATATATATACATACATACATACAAAATAAATGTGGAATATATGTGAGTCATGAATATATGGTCTTATTCTTTGGTTCAGGAAAAACATCATCCCAACTAATACTAATCATCACATTTTTTTTTAGCCAAAGATATTCGAAACCACCAATTCCGGATCCTGCGTGCGGCCAGCAGCCAACATGTTTGTCATGTAGCCAGCCACCACCTACCAGCTGAGTCATCATCGATGTGTAGCTTTGGCAAAAAAAAACCTAAGGCTAAATCCAATTGTGGGTAAAACAATATCATTTTTACAAGCCATTTTTCCTGGGAATGGTAAGTTTATACCACCTATAAAAATGGTGATGGCTGGGGGATGGTCAACTCCCAGCGGATCACAATTCAACTGTCATGCTGTGCGCGCCTCCAGGATGAGATCATTTTTCCTGGAGATGTAGAACAGCAGAACTTTGTTGTAATCAAAACGTGGCAACTGGAAATCTTCTATTTTTGTTGGGGGTTGAATGGAAAATAATCTATGAATGGTGCAGAAAATCTTCTATTTTTGTTGGGGTTGAATGGAACATAAATGAAAATAATCTATGAATGGTGTATTTTCCAGCAAGCCATGTTTGAGTACCGGATGGCAGTATGATTCACCTTCTAAAATGAGCACATATATGCACCCATCGATTCGTCCCTTGGTCAGGGCTGCCTACCATTCCATTTAAATTTCACTGGAGAAAATGATTGGCACCTCGTTTTTCATGCAACCAGCATTTGGGGCCAATTGGAAACTGATGGCAAGAAACAACAAGGGTTTATAAGAAAGGGTGTGCCCAAACGATTTTGAGATGTTTTTTTGATACAATGCCCCTGATTCTTTCCCTTTCATGACGGCACCAGGTTCATCCATTTTAGAAAGGTCCAGTCAAGGGTGATGTATGCCGCTCATATCAGAGATGCTTAAAATTGGTGTACCCGTTTGACCACGGAGTTTTGGCCGTAAAAGTGATATAAAGTGACCATTTTTTGAATGATTGTGGAGCATTTTGGGAAACCCAAAACATCTCTGCAGGACATCTCTGCAGGGAGGGCCCGCCAAACAATAGCCAAGTTGGTGTATAACTAGGCTAACGCTTGAATTTATGGTGGATCATGGTGGATCTATATACTTATACGTATATGTAATGATATGTCAGGGAAATAAGTTTTACAGCCATTGGATCCCCATGTTAGATGGTTAAATCCCGATTTTGGGGTATACCCAACAAACATCGCCAGCCGAAAAGTGGACGTTTCGGCCAGGCATCAAGAGCCAGTCACTGGCCCAAGGGGCCGTGAAGGCCAGATGCCCTTCCTCGTGGAATTTTTGTGGGATATTCCAAGGGATATAGAACCAATGATGATTTGACCACGAAAAAAGGCTGGAACCAATATTTTTTCGAGGTTACATGGGGTGAGTTCAGTGAAAGAACATGTTGCAGGAAGTATCAATTCTTGGTGAGTTTCAGTGTGTATTCTTGCAATTAATTGTCGGATGTATTGTACCCGTTTGTTGTTCTAACCCAACTATAAGGCAGGCACTACTTGCCATTGGATGGGGCGGTCATTCAAGTCCACTTAGTCCACTTATACTGGGTGCGCAAGTCTAGTGATTGACATATCCAACGGTCTATGGACATCCCTAAATCATCCTAATTAAATTGCATCCTTCAACATGTCCCGTGGGACTGGCTCAAGTCTGTCGGTCCGGTCGCGGGTCAGTCAAATCGCATTAGCTTTTATACACAGATATGTTGAAACTGCATAATGTTCAAATACAGGCAAACATAAACGCGCAAAATACCAACAATGATGCAAATACCAAAACTTATCAAATACCCATTCTGGAGAGAAAAAAAAAACATAGTAGAATCACTTCTGTGGATGGTAGAATCCCAGCAGTTATGTGCAAGATCCCCACCACTTGACCTCTCAACCAGCATCCCAGTGTCCCAGTGTCCCTGCCCAGACACTGTGCGCCCTGCCCGCAAGGGTTGCGGAATCAAACCTTCCTGTGGAAGATCCAAAAACCTTAGGCCATGAGACGATCTCCAGGAAATTAAAATTCCAGCGATGTTCGTGGGATCAAAAATGACCCAAAAGTGTGAACTTAAACTTGTAACATTGTTTTCGAGCAACTCAAAGTTTGGGGTCATAGTTTAACCAACTTCTAGGAACAAAAAAAGATCTGGGGACGGCAACAAAATCTGGATGTCATCAAATTGATGAGGATATTAGGCGGGTCGTCAAACTTTCAGAGGGATCACCGGATCCCAAGAACATCTCCATTTTTCTGGGGGATCCCGGGATCCCCAATAGCTGGTTGGTTTTTACAACATCCAAACTTCAAACATAGATGCTTTAGGGGTACGGTACCTAAAAATTTTAGGAAACCTCCATCTGACTGTAGATCATCCCAAGTCAGAGATGGAATCTGCACGACTGCTTGAAACCACCAAGAAGTGGCTCTCTGAATCACTTAGTTTGCTGGAAAATCTTCCATGACTCTAGTATTTTCATGCAAAAAATGGTGATATCCAAAAATCCCAAACTTCAGATGTGTTTTTTTTCTCTCCAGTTTTCTAGGGGATGTTCCATGGTTTTCCACCAGTTTTTCCCACTCAAAACGCCACTTCCCAGGAATTTCCGGGCAACGCCTGCGCTTCGGCCTCCAACTTCCGAACCCACTCCGTGGGCAACAAACTCTCCAGCACCACCTCGGCACCCACGAAGATGAAGGGAGCAGTTTAATGCGACCCCTGGTAACGTGGCAATCATTGAGGTCCATGATTCTGGAAATTAAAACCTCTATTTGTATGGAAACATCCACTAAAGGCTCCATGATTCTGGATGTTTTTTCCCACTAAAGCCTCCATTTATAATTAGATGATGTTCCAATTAAAATCTCCAGTTATTATAGGGGAAAGGATGATGGGAAGCAATCACCAACGATAGAACTGAGATATAATGCATGGATACAAATAGGACATTACCTTAAATTCTATATACCCGTCATTTCCCATCTAGAAACTGCAGTAAACTCCCACAGTAGTTCGTTTTATTCCCATACTAAGTATATATATATATACACCCTTATAAAACGGTTGGTTTATCGCCCTTATTGGTTCTTATCGTTTCTCAAATCATTTCCATCCAAAAATGGCTACTCCCATCCCACCATCCCATCATCTTGCTTCTCATTCACTACGAAATAATTCCTTATCATGTTCCCACGCATGAAAAAATATGAAAAAAAAATGCATCCAAAATCCCTTCAAAATAGATGTTCACATTTATACATACATATAGTTGCTTATATATCCGATTAAATCCTACTATTGTACCCATATATTTTGTTGGTTTATCCCCATAAAACCATATGTGACATGGTCATTCTATCATCATGAATCCGATTCCAAGAGAATGGCTAATCCCATCCCCCATTCGTATCAAACAAACCAGAAACCATGGTTTAGTAGAGATAAAACAACGTGTGGGGGTGTTCAATATCAAAGGGGGATGGGATTAAAATAGATCAATCCCTATTGATTCTTCCCATCCCCCCAATGGGGTTCACAGTAACCCCAATAAGATCTGGTTTCCCATTCGTTGCTGGTGAAATCCCATTAAATCCCACAAATTCCCATGAACTCATCCCATTTTAAAAAAAAAAAACTCATAAAAGTTTCCAAGGTATTCTCATTAACCTTTACGGCTTGCTATCTGTTCAAATCCCATTAAATCACCATTCGTTGCTGGTGAAATCCCATGAAATCCCACAAACTCCCATGAACTCATCCCATAAAAAATCCCAATAAAAATCTCATAAAAGTCTTATCAAATCCCGTAAAAGCCCCTAGAATCTCACAAAATGTCCCAAAATTCCTGGCAAATCCACCACAAAGCCACGCCGCAAAGCCGTTCCGCCGCATCTTCTCCAAGGCCTCGGTGGCCATGCGCCGCTGCTCGGCCTCGTCGGCGTCCTCGAAGCCAAGGCACGGCCTCGGGCGCCATGGAGAGGGCATGGCCTCCATGGCCATGGCCTCTGCATGGCCCCTGGGTGAGGGAAAGATCTGAAAAGATCACCAGATCTCACCAGGATAAAAAGGGAAAAAGTGGGACTGAATATTTGGGAGAAGCAATGTTGAGAAGAAAATTCATCACCAACATTTTTTCCCACATCAGTGTTGGATGTGTTGGATTGAAGTTGTGAAACTAATTTCGGGGATATCACCGGAAAAAAAAAGGAGTGAATGGGGAGAGTTTGGCCCTTTTTTTACCTGCAAAGTTCATGAAATATGCCAAATCCAAACAAGGGGATGGAATTATATGGGATCTAAACATACCAAATTCATTCTAAATCCAAAACTGATGCTTTCCTGGAATTGCGGAGTTAACAATATTTTCACAATCACAGGGATATGATTCAGAATTGGGCACCACAAACTCACAGAACTGCTATTCAAAGATTGCAGAAGATTTGGATGAATTTAGAGGTCAAGAATGATATCATAGAACTCACCAAAAAATCCACATCTTGACGCCATAAGTACGCCATGTTGGTTTCAATGGTCTGTTTGGAATTGGAATGTCCAGCTTAGGATGTTGGCAGCCTGTGAAGCTGCCCTACCTTCACCGGCCGGCCGAGACGCACCACAAATTGCGCAGCAGCAGGAGATCTGCAGGGGCCATTGGTGTAGAGTTTCGGTCTGCGCCTCAACGAAGCATCTTCAAAATCACAGATGATATGGCTATGGTGAACCCCCAAAGCACTGGTCATGGATGGTTATCCCCATTAGATATATGGTATCGTAGGGTTTTAACCCATCTTCATAACTAAAAATCAACGACAGATCCCGATTAAAATGTTGTGATTTCCCACCTCAAAACCCAACTCTAAGATTGAAAAAGAAGAAGAATCAACCCAAAAAAAATCCAACAAACTTCACAAAATCAGAAGCTCCAAAATGTCCCAAAAAACTTCAACTTCTCATGCAAAGGTCGTAGAAAATCATAGAAAATCACAGAAAATATAGAAAAACCATCAAAGAAAAAACGAAACAAATCCTCTGCTGATCCTCGGCACGGCGAGGTCTCGTTCTCCGCGCCGCCGTCGCCAAAGGGTTTCAGCCCTAAACGGTCCGCCTCTTCGGGTGACATGGTGACGCCCACCTGACGAAGACCATATGGCCATAAAATTGGAGAACTTCGATATAAATTGATACAAATATGTAATCGGTTTGTTTTTAGCAGAATAACGTATCATTATGTATAATTACATATAGTATACAATAGTATACATACATGTGTGTGCGGGGGTTGTTTTTAACCACCGAAATGGAGATTTAAAGCAACAAACCAAAATGGGGAATTTGGTCTATAACTATTGTGGTTCGATGGGAATTTTGGCGGGTGTGACTCTGTAGTTGGATGGGTGAAACGATCCACCATGCAGGCCAGGCGGCCAGGCAAAATGAGGATCATTGATCCGCGACTGAGAATGATGATGTCTATAAGACGCTAAACGGGAAAAAGCTTCCTCCTCTTGATGGGTCACAATCTTTCTAAGGGTAGCCTGACATGAACATGAACAATCAATGATCCATGTAGGTCTGTATGTGTGTGTGTATGTATATATATATATACATATATGCAGAGCAATGCCAGAATTCAAGAAATTCTGGGATGAGATGGGGGGTTCCTAAAATAGGGGTAACGCCTGATCATCCATTTTAATAGAATAATCATGAATATTCCACTATAAACCATCCAGCTATTGGGGTACCACCTCCTTTCTCCTGCCCGGCGGCCCGGTGCTTGCCGGCCTCAAAGCCGGCCTCATTGACCACATGTCTGGCAGTTGGGTGGAATCCACGACCTGCCAGGGACGACTTGAACATTCCTGCAGAGATCTTCAACAAATACATAGATATCATGGATATCATATATAATATATTATATATACATGTATACATTATACACATACATATACATGTGAATATACAATTAAATATACGATTGCTTGCTTGATTGCTTAGATAGATGTTTCATCCAGACTCATGCTCACATTGTGAGTTTCATTTTTTAAATCGCAGAGAAATGTCAATCGGGATCAACTTCAAGTTCACAGCCACCATGGACATTCCGGGGTGAAATGCTTGGTGTGGCTGCATTGCTCATTTCACACCCCAAAAATGGGTACCCTCTGGTAAACTAACATAGCTATTGAAAATCACCATTTTTAATGGGAAAACTCACTATAAATGGCCATTTTCAATAGCTACGTTAAATTACCAGAGGGTCGATGTCAATTTCTGATTGCCCATATCCCAAGGTGTCAGATCCTGACGGACACCTGAGCGAGAGCTGGACGAGTTCAAGAAGCTCCTCAGCAGCAGGGAATACAAGACGGCTATGGATCACCATTTTGAATGGATAAATTATCGAAATAATAATGGCCATCGAAAAACCTGTAAAAAGCAGCTGTGTTGAGTGAGTTATCGTAAAGACATTGATGTATGAGGCGATTGAAATATTTGCAGCCGATAAACATATTTAAAGATAGAAATAAGAAAACAAAAATAGGCCCAAAGCATACCCATATGCTTCATGGTGCTGGAATATTTACCAACATTTGCCCTACAAAACACCCAAATGTGGGTAAATATACTATACATAGAGCATATGGGATATAAAATCAACCAGTAGATCGCTAGTCTTCCCCTAAAGGTACAGTTACAATCTAAGTATGCACTTGGGAATCATTATGGCTCGCGACACTGCGTAGATTCACCCTGCAGCTATCTAAAGCCAATAAAACCAGCTTGTAGTCCTTTATTGGGCTACTAGATTCCTAAAATCATTGATATCTTAGGATGTATTAGGTGTCTCTCTATATATAATCTATAATATATATATATATAATTATATATATATATAATATCTATGATTAATATATGTATATAATATATATATATATACAAGTAGCAAACCATTGGGATATCGAACGTTGTTTCCTCAAAGATTATTTCAGCCTCGATCGATACACAACTCACCGTGCCTGCACCGAGAAATTGGCATCATCACAGAGCAAATGCCTGACGCAGCTGGGACCAGTCGGCGATGGCACGACAAATCGAAGTCTGTTGAACTCATGGAATCCTCCACCTGGTCTGGTGTTGATCATCTCAGAGCTTGAAACCTGAAGTCGAACCACTTAGATGGGATATGATGGGATGATGAATGATGATGAATGGAATCCTCCACCTGGTCTGTTTTTTTCGACCCGCCATCATCCGCCATCCTCAAACAGTCAGGATTCATATTTCACCCCTTCTGGTTGGCTCCCAAATTTCCCACCTGCACAGGCCGCCATTGCACGCCATCTCCATCGATCTAAGCAGGGCAGGGAAACCATCCCTGGCCACTTGGAAGTGGTCGCCAGTTGGAACCATCGCAAATGACCGAAGACACACAGCTTGTCGGAATGGGGTCACCCTGAAGCGTACTTGGAAAAGATGCCTATAACCTATAAGAAGTTCGATTTCCCCTGTTGTATGCCGGAGTTCCACAAAAAAAAACTCGGGGCAGTTGTTTTGTTCAATTATTTGGCGGATTTTGGAGGTGTCCTAAAATGGTGGTATTGATGGTACCCCTAAATCATCCGTTTAAACAGGATTTTCCAGTATTTTTACCATCCAGCTATTGGGCATCCGCCATGGAAACCACATCATGGGCTGCATCATGCTGCATCCAAGCTGCGCCGAACAGCCAGCATGGCGGTTTAGGGTCAGCGTTGGTGGAATGTTTGGAGCCACCACTTAGGAAAATCCATGTGGGGATGGGTCAAAACCAATAGTACCCCTGTAGTTCACATCAAAATAGCTGGTAAATTTTAAATGGATGTGAATAACCCCCTAAAAATGGTATGAAAATAGGTATTGATCCATACCCATGTCACTGTGGAAATCATCTGATCATCTGATCATCCTGGAACTGTGCGGCTTCCCATGGTCGAATGGTCGAATGGAACATTGCTGCTGGAATTCGCTTAGGTCAATCACGTGCTCTGATGTGGTCTAAACTCACTAAATAATACTCAAACGGATCATGTGGCCATCTCCCGATGTTTGTCAACATGGGCGTGCCGTTTCGCAATTCCTTGAGATGCCTTCTGCCTTCTGCCATTTCGCATTGCCTGTCTCCAAATGTCTCAAGTGGAGAAAAGGTGGGGGTTGGCCTCCCAGTGACGATTGTAGCCCATCATGAATCACACATCTTGGCTCATGATGGAGGGCATTGTCTTTGGCTGTCACACAGCTGCGGGAGCAAGTGGAGCAAGTCATTCCCGTGGCAAATGCCAAGGTGAAAGAGTCGAGTCGCTTCAAGCGTTCGCTTTTTATCGCAAGGGTCACCCTGAACCCCTTTTTGTGTCCTGGAGTCTTGCGAGTTCCTTTTTGCCAAAAGCCTGGCGGCATGGGGAAGATGGAATCTTGCAGCATCATCCTGCCATGGGTCGAGTTTTCAGACCAACAAAAACGGATCGATGGGTTCAACGGGCAGTTGTCAACTGCAATGGTCAAGGAAATGATGGGCTAAAGCCACTGCTGGACACCAAAACAAGAAGCCCCGAAGCGCCTTGGCAACTCCCATCAAAATCCACTATGAACTCATGCTTGGCCATGGAAACAATGGTAATTAAAAGGGAAGAAGTTCAATTTATAAAGCTATAATCATAAATATGCAATATATACATATGTATAATACATCTGCGCAGCACATCCCCCGACCCTTCGAAACCCTGTGTGCGACGGTTTGGGTGCAGTTATAATAAAACAAATGTATGTATATATATATATGTCTTATCTAATATTGAACATAGACATAGAATATATTATAGATATTGGATATAGATATATATATATAGATATAGATATAGATATAGACATAGATATAGATATTCTGTAAATCCGATTTTCCTTTTTAATAAGAACTTCATAGCCACGTGATCCCCCTGGCTTTCCGCTCCAGCGCGGCGCCTCGCCGGCCGCTGCTTAAATATGCTGCCTCGGCAAAAAAGAAGATGATTTTGAGGCTAAATCCTACAGGATGGTGCCCCCCAGTTATAAGTTGGTTTATACACCCCATGAATACTATAGTTATATCTACCATAAACCATAGTTATGGGAATTATGTTCACCAACTTAGCTAACTATGGGGCACCACCTTGTAGGGGTTGCTTCCTGATCTTCCCATTCTGGGCAGCTTGTGTCGGATATGTCAGTTTCGTCATGGTTTGAACCTGGGTTTAAAACGGAAGAGTTTGCCCCAAGTTTGGGACACCGTTTCCGCACGACTTCACGACTTCACACGCACGACTTAACCAGGCCACCTCTCCTGACCTCTCACCAGGCCGCATGTGATGTGTGGAGAGGGATCATATGTTCACGTGTTGGGTTTGTAAATATGTTCCTTGTTCATGTATTTTACAAGTACATATTAATGTAATCAAATGTATATACATAATTATCGGCATACATATATCTAATATTATCTAATCAATCTGTACATATATATATATATATGTATATCATTGCATATGATTTTGTACATTACATTGATGAGTTGATGTATTGATGGATGTTTGTAGCGCATGCATACAAGACATGGCCTTGCACAGAATGCATGACAATTCTTTGGAATCCAGTTGGATCAAAGAAAATCACATGTAAAGAAAGAGAGCCTAAGTTTCAATCGATACTCAGGAGCATCATAAGCCTTAGCACGACTCCTTCAAGGGAGCAAGTTCATCTCAATTCAACACCTGAACCGCTCGGGTGATTCCCAGCCTGCATTGGCATCATAAATCCCCAACAACATGGAATGGCCACGACCAAAAACACTAGCAGTCACAAGCATGGACCCATGTGCCAAATGGATCCAAATTGTGTTCAGCAATCTCATGTGGAACTTCGATTCTATCTTCAAAATATCTCAGCTTGGCTGGAGCGAATTTGTTGCATCACAACATCGTTCTCCCTGCAAAATCATGCTAAATTTTAACAGCGAATGGCCATGAGCGAAACAAGTTGAAACACAAGCAGTCACAAGCATGGACCCATGTGCCAAATGGATCCAAATTGTGTTCAGCAATCTCATGTGGAACTTCGATTCTATCTTCAAAATATCTCAGCTTGGCTGGAGCGAATTTGTTGCATCACAACATCGTTCTCCCTGCAAAATCATGCTAAATTTTAACAGCGAATGGCCATGAGCGAAACAAGTTGAAACACAAGCAGTCACAAGCATGGACCCATGTGCCAAATGGATCCAAATTGTGTTCAGCAATCTCATGTGGAACTTCGATTCTATCTTCAAAATGTCTCAGCTTGGCTGGAGCGAATTTGTTGCATCACAACATCGTTCTCCTTCCAAAATCATGCTAAATCTCAACAACGAATGGCCATGAGCGAAACAGGTCGAAACACAAGCAGTCACAAGCATGGACCCATGTGCCAAATGGATCCAAATTGTGTTCAGCAATCTCATGTGGAACTTCGATTCTTTCTTCAAAATATCTCAGCTTGGCTGGAGCGAATTTGTTGCATCACAACATCGTTCTCCCTGCAAAATCATGCTAAATCTCAACAGCGAATGGCCATGAGCGAAACAAGTTGAAACACAAGCAGTCACAAGCATGGACCCATGTGCCAAATGGATCCAAATTGTGTTCAGCAATCTCATGTGGAACTTCGATTCTATCTTCAAAATATCTCAGCTTGGCTGGAGCGAATTTGTTGCATCACAACATCGTTCTCCCTGCAAAATCATGCTAAATCTCAACAACGAATGGCCATGCTAAATCCATTTTTACCACAAAAACACACCAATGCCGCAAAAACACACCAATCACCTACCCAGCAAGTAAACTCTAAACTCTTGAAAGCTATTACATTGTCCCAGAAATGTATCACCAACATTTCTCATGTTTTTTCTTTTTTCCCAGAAATGTTCCACCAAAATCTGGGAACATCGAGCCCCACATCTCCTCGGCAGACGCATTCCGCTTCAGCGTGGCCCTGTTGCGACGCAGCCGGCCGGCCGGATAGATAGATAGGTAGATAGGTAGATATGTATATATGTATAGATGTATATATGTATATATGTATATATGTATATATGTATATATAATTATGTATAATATATGTATATATAATTATGTATATATTTAATTATTTAAATATAATTATGTATAAATAATTATGTATATATACTTATGTATATATAATATGTATATATAATATGTATATATAATATGTATATATAATTATGTATATATAATTATGTATATATATATAATTATGTATATATATATATAATTATGTATATATATACATGATTATGCATATATAATTGTGTATATATAATTATGTATATATAATTATGTATATATATAATTATGTATATATATATAATTATGTATATATATATAATTATGTATATATATGATTATGCATATATAATTATGTATATATAATTATGTATATATAATTATGTATATATAATTATGTATATATATATATAATTATGTATATATATGATTATGCATATATAATTATGTATATATAATTGTGTATATATATATATAATTATGTATATATATATGATTATGCATATATAATTATGTATATATAATTATGTATATATATATATTATATATATAATTATGTATATATATAATTATGTATATATATATATATATGATTATGCATATATAATTATGTATATATATACCTCATATAAGAATTATAGCACTATCTATTTCTCATCTGGGTTTGTTCAGTGGAAGGGGCTCCAAGTTATGGCCATTAGGGGGAAACTCAACCACGCTCGATTGAAGTGGGTCATCTATGGCCTAATTTTGGGTGGCTGAACGGATGGAATGGGCCAATGATGGCATGGTTGGCCCGATATGACTCCGCCCGAAAATTGACCTCCGGCCAACGATTCCTAGCGAGGAAGTGGGGTTGTTTTATCCAGGATGTAAGCGACCGAAAATTTGGGATTCCACTTGCAAAAATCATGGACCCGGCCACGATTCAACCTGGATTTCAAAGCCGATTTGACTCGATTTGACCTGCAAACCGTAGGATTTCGCCAGGGATATCCTCAACCACCAGATCCAGGGGGGCAGTCCTTTTTGCATATGAGTACCATGTCATATAACACCCAGATCTTGTCATTTTCACAAGTGAGACACAGAAATCGAAACGCTACTGCCCTGGCAAATAGACATACATGTGAATATATGTATTATATATGTACATAAGTATAAGTTAATTTTGTATACCATAAAAGCTGGAAGAGATTGAACATATATTGAAACTATATTCTATCTATCTATCTATCAATCAATCTATCTATCAATCAATCCATCTATCTATCTATAGATATAATATATATATATATATTAGATATACATTTCTGTTCCATATCGCAATCTCTTCCAATGTCTCGGATATCTCGCATATCGCCTGCCTGCATCAGCCAGCACCTCTGCCAGGGTCCGGCGATCATTTTGCACCTCCAGTCAACGTGGCCCAGCATCGACGTGGCCCGGGGTCTTGGTGCAGGATACTTCCATTAAAAAGTCATGAAATGCTGATTTCAATGGTGGATATGGATGGATATGGGTCAAATAATCTCAAATCATCGTCGCCTTTCCAGTCATTACTTGGTTAAGCCATTGATTACCACAATGTGGGGCCCTCCAGTTATAAGTTGGTTTATAAACCCCAGTAACTATAGTTATAACTACCATAAACCATAGTTATTGGAAGGTACCAAAATCTGTCGCCCCATGGTACCGTTTTTTTCGGCAGGTCGCCACACAGGCTCCTGCCACCAACTAGGCAGCGGCGCCCCCACAGCACTGGCGACTTCATGGAGCCAGCGGTGGATGGTGGAAGGATCCACGTCCAGTACAGGGCGCAACTGCTTCAAGCACCTGTGGGGGGTGGACAGTGAGATCCAAAACTAAAACATGGATGGCGGGGTGAAAAAGACAACACACACAGATAGACATATATATGTATATGTGTATGTATACACCTATCTATGTACATATATATAGAGATAGATAGATAGATAGGTAGATAGATAGATAGATGGATAGATAGCTAGATAGATGGATAGATAGATAGATGGATAGATAGATGGATAGATGGATAGGATATATAATTAGATGCTTAGATACTTAGATAATTAGATAATTAGATAATTAGATAATTAGATAATTAGGCAGATATGCATTCTCCACATATAGATATTTATATATATACATACATACATCATCCATCATCCATCATCCATCATCCATATATGATCCATGATTATATATATATAGTATTATATTATCATATATATATATATAGTCATTGATGGTGGTATCATAGATCATCTATCATAGATGGATCATCTTCACCCCCGGTCGGCCCCGGGCACCAAGGCTCAGCGCAGCGCGGCTTTGCGGCCCGCTTCGCACGCGCCAAGACCAAGGCCACTTGGGTCTCCTCGGCCTCGCCGATGCCTGCGGGGTTCACTGGATTCAGGATTCACAAGGCCCTGTTAATTTTAATTGACTCACTAATTAAATTCATGGGGATTCACATTCATTTGGGATGGGGAGTGGGGACGAATGTTGCACAAAGAAAGATTTTGAGGAACCGGTGATTTGAAGCAAGGATTTGAGCCGGGATCATGTTCAGAAAAAGATGGGGCGTCTGACACTCGCGGACTGCAGTCTCGGTTCATGCCACAGCGGTAGCAGTGGCAGTCAAACCTTATGTGCACCACCGCTACCGAAGTGGCCGCGTCAAGTCATTCACTACCCGTATTGGGCGGTGAGCAACAAAAGCAAGGAGAGCCTCTTGAGCCTCCGTCAGGACCCCTTGGGTCAATCGAATGTGCACACCCCCCTGTGGGGGGTGCACCGCCAATGGAAGCAGTGACTGGCCACTGCTAAAAAGGATGTCAACCCCAAGAAAAGGGCTCAAAAAGTGGAAAAAACGACGTACCAAATGTACGATCGCCGCCACAGTTGGACGGTGTCTACCGCCTCTCAGCGAATCCTCCCATGTCCCAAAAGAAGTAGGCGTAGGGAGCTTGTCGTCGAAGTGCTTGAGCCAGTAGATCGCGATCTCCAGCCACGTCCATCTGGTGTCCAACGAATCTTCAGCATCACGTTGGTCATGGAGCCATTGAATCATGGCCCGAGAAAACTTCATCCCAAATCTAGCCACAAGGTCTGACCCAGGAAGGTGAATCAGCCAATTTGGATCCATGGCGAACAGCCAACTGGAGTCCGCATGTAGCAAACGACCATGCCGCCAAGCCCTCATTGCGGAAACATGGTCCCCCTCTTCTTCATCCTCCTGATGTCCTGCTTGAAGCCTGTGATTTGAGACGTCCATGTGCAACTTCTGTGTCAGCTGCAGTCGGCGAAGTGATTGTCTGTGAGCACGAAGGAGTTGATCTCTGCACCCCATGAAGTCTTGTCCACGAAGGAGTTGAGCTGCTCCAGCCTCACGATCAGCTCTATCATTCCATTCTGCTGTCCAAGCATCTACTGGGTCATTCTCTTTCCAGCCATCTCGATGTGCGGCAATATGTTGCACATACAATGCACCAGCTCTTCCGCTCACTAGTCCCTGTATGTCCATCCATAGGCCATCACCTGGATCTTCGGGTGAATCGTGTGGGTCTTGAAGAAGACGATGTAGCCCCGAAGTGGCAAAAGCGCTGTCACTCCAAATGATTACATCTCCATGAAAGTCAAAGGAAATGTCCAACGCATTCTTGATGGCATGTACTTCAGCTTTGTCGTTGTGCTGACGAAGTCCCGAGAGCGTCCCCCGGGCCACCCATCGATCTGCCTGAGGACATACCACCGACCAAGCCCCAATGGCATAGTCAGGAAGTTCAGGATTCCAGCAGCTGCCGTCTGTGAAGAGATCGATTCTCTTTTCCCCTCTAGGTAGTGCATGTCGTTCAATATGTTCTGGCTTGGCCAGATGTAGCTTGAAAGCCGCCCAATGCTCATTCCTCGAGGGGATAAGATGGGCGCGAAGTGCATATGTGAGATCATTGGCCTCGCTGATGATTTCCTGGTGCTTTGCATGGATTTCTGAGAAGTCACGGCAACGAAAGCAGCGATGCTCATGTGTGTCATCCTCACCGCATCTAGCGCAGAGACGACTCTTGCCCATGTCAAACTTGCTCTGTGCTCTGGCATCCAGAAAGGAGCCATCCTGCACCGCTTGCAGCATCTTGCGGACTCGAAAATCCAGCTTCTTTCTCGCCGCTCGAAAAACAGCAAGGTCAAATCCTTGCAAGCCCTCAAAGTCTTTCCGTTTGCTCACTGTTCTGGCCATATGTTGGCACCATGCGTCCTCCGCGATGCCTCTCAGAGCGCTTTCAGTGATGTCAAGGAATGAGACCCAGAAACCATCATGATCATAGAAGCCTGGGACCTCAATGCACCAACCAACTTCACCTGCAACCTCAAGTAGTTTCCCGAATGGACCAATACTGCGTTGACCTGCAAAATGGTTCATGAAATAGCTCCACATCTCCACCAAGTGCGGTTGCTTGTCCAGCATGCGCTTAAAGGTGGTGAGGACATTCCAGAGCTGGTAGAAGCCGGGATCACAAGCCATCGACTCCTGTGTGCTCAGAGCCAGAAGTGGATTGGCTCCCGCTCGGTTTCTCTTAAGACTCTTCATGGCTGCAGATCGAAGATCTTGAATGTGTGATTTCCCCAGAGGAGAATTGGAGCAACCATAAAATGCTTTTGCCCAAATACATTGCTGCAGGATTTGTTGCTTCTTCCAGTCAGCTGCCGGGAGTCGTTTGAGGAGATCCCACAAAGGTTTGATACCGTTGAGACGCTCCAGAGCACCCTGAATGTAGTTCTTCTTGCCATAGACCATGTTCGCGCCAAGATCAACTGCACTCTCTCGGAGTTTCCATCCCATTGATTGGCATTCCTTGCGCAGTTTGGCGCTGGTCCCCCACACAAAGCTTTTGGCCTTGTCCAGGCTCATATGCCACATTTCGCTCCACTCCTCTGTGCAGAGTATGCCATGTTGAAGATGCTCCATAGAGTTCGCAATGAGTTCAAAATTGTCCACATAGGAAACTGGGGTGACCATCTGTGAATACGCTTGCAAGTAGAGATGGAAGACCAAGTCAGCAAGCCCCATTGCAAAGCATGACATAGCACATCCCTCAGGGTATCCACTATTGCTAAGCATGGGCTGTCCCACCACCCCATGCAGCGAAAAGTACCTGGTGGTGTTGTCCAGGAAATTGTGCCAGAAGTTCACAATGCGATGATGTACACCTAACTTCTTTGAAAGCCACTTGATTGGACCTCTGGGAATGTTCTCAAAGGCCTTCTGAATGTCCGTGACCCAGCCGCAAAGTTCTTGTCCGGCCAGCATGCTGATCTCGATATAGGCCTGGATAGTGAACCACACTTGCACTGCTTCACGGCCAGGTAGGAAGCCAAATTGGTGACGATCAACAAGCCTTTCCAGATGTCCAAGGCATTCTCTTGCTCTTAGGGATGACCAACTTCTGTAAACCATGGAGTAAAGGATCACCGGGCGGAAGTCCCCTGCTGCTGTCCCTTCAGGTTTCTTCGGCAAAGGATAAACGAAGCCTGCCAGCAGGGCATCCGGCCATTGTCCCAATTTCTCACAATGGTTCAGGAGGTTGATAAGGGATTCCTGGAGATCTGGTAGAAGCCATTGAAGGTCCCTTCTATCCATACTGTCAGGCCCCCGAGCCGATCTTGGTCCATATCGCTTGTTGACCTCAGACCATTGATCCTCCAAAATGGGAGAATAAGACATCTGTGCCCTTGGAAGGTATTGCTCAGCAAAGGCGAACATTCTGTCCCAATCAGAGGATGCAGGTGGCGTCTGCTTCCACCATCGTTGTTTCCAGAACTCTTCAAGCTTTCCAATGATGGCATTTGGGGTGGCGAAGTGAGTTTTGGTTGTGAATGTGCAGGGTTGCTGGAACAAGGTCTCATGTGCAATTGAAACTACCGGCCCATCCACCTGTTGGACTGTCACCTGCACTCCATCAATGTCACAAACTGCTTGGGGATTCCATATCACCTCCTCTGCCGTGTGAATCATCTGCTGGTCGTCGGAGACGGCCAGAATTTCAGTGGTCTGCGTCTCCACCAGATGTTGGAGAGGAGCTTTCCCATCCGGCTTCATCAGGGAGAACAACCTGTCCTGATGCTCCTGGAAGTATGTATTCAAGAGTTCATGCCGGTGTCTCTGATGCCAGGACTCCATCTTCTTGTAGTTTGCTTCAAAGTCCCTGAAGATGCCCACCATCAGGGCTAACGATGGAACATTCAGAGGTAAATGTGGCGGACTGCCTTGCAGCCGCACAGGCCGCTGGCTCCACCAGTCTTTGAAGCCCCCACGGAATCCACGGCCACGGAGAATAGCTCCCCAAAGCTCAGCACGATACTGTTGGGCTTCCGCTGTGTCTTTGCCTGCCCGTAGTGCATGGAGAAGACTCTGTATCCTCCTGAGTTGGATGAACCACCTCTGTGGCGTGCGACCCAATAGTTCAGAGGATTGGTGTGCTTCTCCTGGTCTCGAGGGTCGAAGAAGAGGAAGTGCATTCGCTCGATCTGTGGGCTTAGAGCGTTGACCTCTTCCCTTGCATCCCATGGGCAGAAGACCATCAGCAGAATGGATATAGCCATTGAAGCTATCTTCATACCTCTGGCAAATCAGCGCATAGGCCTCGTTGATGTTCATCTCCTCGACTGCAATCACTCCTGGGGTTTGAGCTCGCCAAGCGTCCCAACAAACTTCATGCCATGGGATTCTTCCAGGCTGGGGCCAACTGCGTTGTGGCTCTGGTTGCACTGGAAAATTGAATTCGGCCCCAATGATAACATGATCAGCAAACCATGGCCATGAGCATGTTCGTCGGAAGAATGGTATCATCTCCGGGGAAATGAAAACAAAGTCAATTGTTGTTGCCCCTCTGCATGTGGCAATCGGTTCCCATTCTCCTCTCTGATGCCCGAGATCTTGAATCTCGATCCAGCCATAGGCCTTTAGAAGATCCACCGCTGGAAGCTTGGCTGCAGCATGATTGAAATCTCCCATGATGTATCGCGGTCCAGTTTTGGATATAACCAGCTCTTTGACAACTGTCTCAAGCAAGGCATTGGTATCATGAAGTGCTTGTGGATACGTGGGACCGGATGGCCATCCATACAGTTGGGCTCCTGTAAAAGAAAAAGGTCCCAGCCAACACTCTGTGAGCTGAACTCTTCCTTCAAGATATTCATTGTTTGGCCAGTTGATATGAACAGGGCGTAGAATCAAGTCCCCGATCGTCATCACTCCTGCCCAGGTGCCAGTTGTTGCGGATCTGCTCCTCAGAGGGACCATAGCGCCTGGCAAGACCGCAAGGTGCCGATGATACTCTCTGCTGGTTCTCTGAAAAGCACTTCTCGTGCTTCTGAGCCCAGGTTGCGCCAGATGA